CCTCGCCTCCATCCCCCCCCGACCAAGCCCCCAAACCACCGCCAAACCCACCACCAAACCCGACGCGATTTCCCACCTCCCTGCGCCGCTCCTCCACACCATGCGCGAATCCTTCAGCGTGCTGGACCGCAACAACACAGGCGTGATCACCGCCGCCGACGTCTCGGACATGCTCTCGCAACTCGGTCTCGAGCACCACCCAACCGCACTATCCGGCTACTTCGCGCCGACGTCCGCAACTACACTAAATCTGGCGACGTACCTAAACCTGCTGGCGACGCCGATGCAGGGGGCGTCGGAGGCGATGGAGCTGAAGGAGGCATTGGCGGCGTTCGACGAGGATGATAGTGGGCAGGTGGACGTGCGGGAGTTGCGGGAGGCGTTGTTGACGACGGCGCCGGAGGAGGGGGAGAGGGCGTTGGGGGAGAGGGAGGTGGAGAAGGTGTTGGGGGAGTTTAGTGGGAGAAGGGCGTTTAGTCGGAATAAAGGGTTTGGGAAGGTGGGGGTAGCGGGGAAAGGGGAGGTGTTTAAGTATCATGAGTTTGTGAATGCGGTTTGTGGGGGTGGGAGTGGAGGAGTTGAGGAGAAGGTTAGTGGGTGAAGGAAAGGGGGGCTATTAATTGGATATCAAGAGGACTTCTGTCCTCAATAGCAGCGAACTTTTGGCATAATGTCTCCTGTTTCAATGTGCTGGCTAAACACCCTCATTCTAGAGTATTCGTAAAGTGATTCCCTACCCGCCTGTTCCGTGGTCCCATCTTGTTTTGTAGTTTTCATGTTATTTTCCATCCGGATCCGTTACACCGTCATGAACCTCACGATATTCTTGTCAATGTCATGCATTTCTGGCCCAAAACGACACTCCGATCCGAAGATGCAAGTCTTCCCATGTGACCCATCTGCGTGCGACTTCGCCTTCGGCGCAGGGCAAACATGACCATAGATACACTTCATCTCGTCGCACAAACTACCCCACTGGCACGGGGCCATGCGCGCGCAGATGCGGAGGGCATCCATTTCCGATCGACTCGGCTCGTATTGATGCTGATGGGTGCAATCTGCATAGTATGGGCAATCGCCTCGAAGGAACCAAATATTGCAAAGTTTCAACGCCTTGATTTTGTTCACGAGGTCCTTGTCGTAAGGAACCACAGGCACGTCAATGCGCTGGCCCTTCCGATTCCGGGGAATATCCTCCGGGAAATCAATGGGCCAGAACGGCTTTCCGCCGTCCGCCGAGGATGCACGAGATATGTTAGATTTGGGCGTGAATACTGTGGCAGTTGCTTTGAGGGGAATCGGAAAGCTGAGCGTTGGAGGAGGGGTCGGAGCTTTAACCGCCTCGGCGAATGACGTAGGTGCTTTGTTCTCTGCCAGAGAAGGAAATTCTTGGCTAGAAAAACGTGGTGCCGCAAATGGGTATCCGTTTTCCACGGGACGCATGGCTAGAGCGCTACTAGAACGATATCCGGGAGGGGAGGCAGTAATGAACCCAGGGGGATGCATCACTGCAGCGCGGATTCCAGGCGTAAAGACAGGTGCCCTAGGCGTGAAATCAGGGACGGAAAGGATCTTCGTCTCGCGGAAGAGATTCATGATCTTATGCTTCCGGAACGGTAAGACGACAAGCTCTCTTTCGAACGGGACACCTTCAAGAAGTGTGATTCGCTTGATAAGGTCGGCTTGAACAATTTCCTCCAGAGTGCGAGCATATCCGTTGTCATGGGAGCAACCCAGGATGATTTGGCGACAGTGATAATCGTACAGATTGAGTTTGAAGTGTTCTATTCAGCCCAAGTCAGTGGAGGCGATGAAGAGTGCGAATGGGGTTGCCCACCGATGATTTTGCCATCCGCTCTATCTTTTCCAGAGCCCACATCGACAAAGTCGAACAGTGTCTTCGCACGGGTAAACCCTTTCATGAACTCCTCAAGGTCTTGAGTGGTCGCGATCAGGCCCGCGCGACGACAGGTTTCAGCTAGACCACTCAAGTTTGCATAAAGACGGCAAACTATTCGTGCCTCTCCGCCGGTAGAGAAGTTTGGCAACGTTTCAGAGACGTACTCGGCGATTTGGTTGTGCAGTTCATTTGCAGCTTTTCTGCCTCCATCTTCACCTTCACGCATGAACCTCTCATGAAACTTGAACTGTTAGCACAACTCGAGAGTACACACCAGGCTAGGTGCGGAGGTGGTTGCCTCCCCAACTTACAATCATTCCATCTCCGTCAAGTAGCACAAGAGCAAACGGATCCCGATTCTGTCGAATAGTCAGCCGGGATTAATGCATCAGTGAGTTTAGTGGGTGACTGCAACAGGCGACATCCATTCGCGAGGGTACTGAATGGGCATCAAATGGTGCGGTGTACAATATTAGCATGTCAACACTGGATAATCATATCCGTAGGGTAGGGCCAAGAATAGCTGCGCAAAACAATGCCTCTGAAAAGCACTCTCTGGAGCGCACAATGAATAAACATATGAGAGTGAAATTGCTCGGCGCTCACCATCAAACTATGCAGATGGCGATTCTCGAGCTCCCTGTCTTTCTCACGCTTCTGAAGTGTGCGGTTCGCCTCGCGCTCTCTATCATGGTCATCAGTTTGCTTTTCGTATTTCTCCTGGAGGGATTGATAGTGGTAGATCAGTTCCTATCAGCGTCAGTGTGTCATCACCATGTGATTGAGTTGGCTCAGAATAGAGTTTCCTCAGTACCTCGATCAAGGTGTTTTTTTCCGCATCGTTCCTTTTCAGTACATCGTAGCGCTGCCAAAGGCGAAGTGAAGGCGGGCCTGAAGATTGCACACCTTGAAGGGCTGAGTAAGTGGTCGCTGGAGATTCACGCGTGGCAAGATGGGTTCCGTCCCCCGAGCTCGCACCGTTACGGGTAGAGGAGAACGCAACCATATCATACGCTACGGGTTCGATATGTCCCGGCATGATGTGAACGATGATGAGATCACAAACTTTGAGTGAGCGAGGAAGGATCAGAACAGTGGGTGAACGAGGAAGGACCAGAGACAGTGAGTGAGTGAGGAAAGGTTCTGAAGGATTGAGTGAACGAGGAAGCGGACAGAAACTTTGAGCAAAGGAGGGTTATTTAAATCTGAAAGAAAGCCTTCTAGACGCGGAGAAATCGAGGTGATCGATGTCGTGTGTTGAATCTTGAACGTGACTCGTAGCGGAGGATCAGAAGCACTCGGATTCACCACACCGGTTGACACAAGCGCTGAGTCGGTTTGGAAGGAGCGATTGTGGAAAGCGCAATTCAAGGAATCATTCACACAGTACCACTGATGTGGAACTGGGTGTCTTACGAACTGAAGTGGTCCAACGATATTTCGAGTCTCCGGGTCATCACAGAAATGTATGGTGATGAGGCGGTGCTGAAGATTCGAAAATGTCTATGAAACGAAGAGGACCTGGCGAGCTTTATAAATTCTTCCGGACTCCAGTTTGACACTATCTTTCCTACGAGCAGATATAGATAGATATTGGTCTATCACTTCAGCGATTGGAGTCTTATGCAGTTAGTCGTTGGATAGGCGCTTCTGTTGAGCAATCCTTGCGGACTTGAGCCTGTTGGATTTGGATCGAATCTCGTAAGTTATGTATACAGCACAATCGAGAAGACAATGCTATGTTTCTGAGGATTGTATGGAAGAAAAAGAGATTGTAAGACGTATCTCAGATACCAAAGACATCTAGTTAATGGATAGGAGATTGATGTAGAGGCCGTGGAGAACAAAGAAGGAGGTTAAGGCGACAAGGCGACAAGGCGATTATTCTGGAATTCAGAGCACGTGCCTGAGGGGAAAGGGAATATGGCGGAGTTTACCGGAGATAAGCCGTGAACGGCTGGGATATTGTAGCCTGAGGCAGAAGACCCTCCTCCGACTGAGATTTTGGTCAGGCATCCGTGTCCTCGCATGGGGAACTAAGCCCGAATAGGAATTTCCACATCCATGAAGCCACATCAACTGTTCCCGACAATTGTTCTTCACCTCAACCGACAACTCCAGGTAACTTTCTAGAAACCTTTCATAGGCCGGTCAAGTCCTTCGCGCTATCACCATGCGGTTCCTTTCCTCTGCCGTCCTTGGCTTCCTCGCCACCCAATTCTCCCAGGTACTAGCAGCTGACCCTGCCAGTGAGATACCAGTATGTATCGCCCAGCTCTCCTCAGCCATCCAGCTGTCCCCAAATCCCCAATAGTCAACCTCAGTACCCAGATCATCCCACTAATTCACAACGTAGATCCTCAACGCTGCAGACGAGATTGTCAGCGGCGGCTCGGAAAAGCGAGCCATCGCCGTCACCGCGACCGCCAGCTTCCCCGAATCCGAAGTCTTCGGCATCAAACTCGTCAACGGCCACCCGACCACCGCGGTCGTCACGTTCAACAATGCTGAGGACTTCCCTGCGAACGTGCTCGCCATCGGTGGCACCTTGGCGCAGGCCTCGTCCGACCAGATTGTCCGCAACCTGACGTTCACGCAATACGGGGTGGAAGTCCCGGCCGGGGAGACGGTCGACCTCACCTATGCGTTCGCGACTGAGATGCACCCACAGGAGCTTCAGTTGGCGCTCTCGGCGATCGTTACGGATAACGAGGCGGGGTTCTATACGCTGTCGATTTTCAATGGGACGGTGAGCGTGGTCGAGGCCCCTATTAGCCTCTTGGATCCACAGATGTGAGTTGCCCGCCCATCCGACGCACCTCAGCTTCTGGACTAATGTCAACTAGTCTCTTCCTCTACGTCTTCCTTTCGGGAGTGTTCGTGGCAACCTGCGCCTTCATCTACAACACCTGGGTGGCGCCGCTATTCCCGAAGAAGTCGGCGCCGAAATCGCGGAAGCCGGAGACTCCCAGGCCGGTGGCAACGACTACTGGCGCGCAGGGCTATGACGAGAGCTGGATTCCGGCGCATCATGTTAACCGACCTGAGGCAAAGAGATCGAAGAGCAGTGGAACGAAGAAATCTAAAGCTTAAGCTCGTGGAGATGACCGCTAGGTGCTTGTTCTACTTCTGAGGTACGGTTCAAACGGCATCTATAGGGCGGTTCTAGAACGGATTTTTCATGGGTGTATGTCTTGGATAGGATATCAAAAAGTTGCATTGTACGCTCATCGATATGTCTTTGAATAGCAGCAATCTGTAGGATAGCAAGAATATACTCTTTATTCGAAAATAAGCGGAGAGCCCCAGAATCTAGATGGCTTTCACCATGCTGGACACCAGCAACCATAACCAACGCCTCGCAATGCTAATCATAAACAACTCGGGATATAAATCCCCTGCGACCATTACCCTGAACCCCATCACCTACCCTGCCCTCCCCAAAATCTCCTCCCTCTCCATCACTTCCTCCCGAAACCGAATCAAAAAAATCGTCTTCCCCGGCCACATATCCTCCCCCCCGCCCGCCCCCTCCGCCCAATGCGCCGACACCCCATCAGTCGCGAACCCCGCCCCCTCACACACCCCCTCAATCACCCCAGCCACGAACGCCGCGCAGTTCAGCTGTGAGATCTCTTTCGGCACGCTGACGTAGCCGTTGACCAGTGGGTCGTTGTCGCTGATCATGTACTCGGCGGCGTTGGCGGCGCTGCGCTCGAGGGCGTCGGCGGGGCGGCCGAAGAGGTGGCGCCAGAGGGTGGTGTGGATGAATTGGAGGAGGGGGAGGATGCGGGTCGGGCGGAGGTTGGCAGGGGAGGTGGTAGCAGAGGAGGCGGTGCGGGCGAGGAGGAGGTCGAGGAGGCGGAGACCGAGGGGGTAGCCTTGGGTGTTTAAGCTAGGATTGTGAGCTATAGTTCGATTTGTACACGTGGAGCATGGGGGGAGTTGCCATACCGCTTCTCGAGGTCAGCGATGCCAGTTACTCGTCTTTGAGCGTAGGTGATCATCTCGACGAAGAGGTATGCGAACGCAGCGCGGCTGAGCTCGGAGGTTTTGGTGCGGTTGATGTTGCGGTCGTAGATGGTCTTTTTGTTCGAGGGGTAGCGGAGGCCCGTTGATGATGCGGCCATTGTGCGGGATGGGACGAGGGATGACGCCGTCGTACTTTGTGCCATGATTGCGAGGTCAATAGGGAATTGCTCACAATGCGTTCCCTTGTCATGGAAATGGAATCCGTGGTTGGAAGTCATGCCAACAAGGAGCTACATACAATTATATTGGCGGTGTGGTTCAAATAGTCGGACGAAGTACACCTCTACGGCTTCAGGCCTCACCCAACATCCAATATCTTTTTCCATGAATGACAGTGAGATGCCATTTATCGTTGAGGGTTGAGGAAGTAACACTTAACAACAGGGTGCGTCTCTTGAGGAGAGCGTATACATAATGCGATCAATCGGGGAGTGTACGAAGTAAGTCTAAGTGCAGTCGTACCTCCGACCGTAACCTGCATTTTGTTGAAACAACAGCCATTCTGTCCGAAAGCTGGTAGCTCATACTATTGAATGTCCAGTTTTGGAAGGTCTGTCAAGCTGGATGGTGAAGACAACAATTCTATTCAGCCGATATGCCGAAAACAGCAAGCTTTTGGAACCTCATGCCATTATAAACTGATGGATATTGCTGGAGAGGCCGTCTTACATAAAGTCATCCCCCGAAAGATCTACCCTCTCAGTTCACTGATATATCTCCACATCCTCTCACGAATCCCTCTTCCAAATCCCTCCATACCAAATCCTCACCCCCACCCACTTCTGACTCCTCTTCCCCAGCATCTCAACCATCCCCTCATCCACTGTCGCCTCCCTCACCTCTTCCACAGGCACGAACCCACCCCCCTGCGCCACTTCCACCGTCTCCTCCACCGTATGCACATAACTCACTCCCCGCACCTTCACCACTTTCCCATCTGGCCCTGTGCTCTGAAACCCAGCCTGCGATAGATTCCCCATCTCCGAATGCATATTCGTCACCAGCGCCAACCCCGGCCCCCCCGGCGCAAGCAACGACTCGATCGACGAGAAATATGCCTGTCCCGGGAAATGCTCCAGCACTAGCGTCGAGATGACCGCGTCCGCGATGCCTTCGTGGGTGGGGACCGCGCCGGACCAGTCGGGCGGGAGCAGCGCGGTCGTGTTCAGCGCGATGGGCGCGGAGGAGGGGTTGGAGGGGTGGAGGAAGTCATGCTGGATGAGCTTGTAGGTGACAGTGGTAGGGATCTGGCGCGCGTTGACGGCGTGAGCGATCTTTGCGTTTGCGGCGCCGAGCATGCCGGTGGAGGCGTCGATGCCAACGACGTGCACGCGGCGATTTGGGGGCCAGGGGAAGGCGAGGAGCTTCATGGTATTGCGGCCGGTGCCGCAGCCGTGGTCGACGATGATGAGAGGTCGTTGGGGGGATGTTGGGGTTGGTGGAGTTCCGAGGAGGCTCTTACACAATTCTGGGAGGAGAGAGGTGAGTTGGAGGTCGTCCATTTGTTGGAGGATGTTGCCGTCGCTGTCGTAGACTGAGGCCCACTGATCATAGGCTTCGTTGGTGGACATGTTGACAACCAGCTTGTCTCCGGCTTTCAGCTCTGCTTGTTTAGGAGATCTGGATTGTTGAACGGAGACTGGTGATGAAGCCATGCCTGAGAATTGAGAGGGAGTGTTTTGAGACAGAGTTACTAGTACGGCAGGATCGATATCCAGAGCAATGGTGTCGGTACTTGAAAACGAGTCAATGGCATGAATTGATGCTAAGTTCCTTCTAGCGTCCTCCTGCTCTTCACGGTCTAATATAATCTTGTCAACTCCTGAATTGGCGGTTCTTCTAGACATGACTGCTCGTCGTAATTTATGGGATATGACACAGAAGTCAATCTGCGCTAGACTTGACGAGGAAAGAATTCACGGTGGCTAAACTGCAAATGTCACATCGGTATGCAGCTAGCTGCTTAGCTCTTGCTAACAGGCTCGGTGTCTGCAATGAGTATTCGGAACTGATAAGTTTGACGTCTGACTTGGACTGTGAGAACTGACTGTGCAGAGAAGCGAAATTCTCCTTGCGGTAATTGAGGGGGGAGTATGGTATAACTCGATTCACATGGTCTAGCCATTCACAAGTGCTTCTGTGATCTGTGGTGTCGATCGGTTGAAACGTAATAGTAACGGGAGGAACGCGTTTGGGTTTCCGCCCAGGCCGCGTCGCGAAGTACGGTTGACACCCAAGGCAGCAACCTGTGACTCATCTCAATTTCAGTCTTTTCAGTGTCATGGGGGATGACATTTGACATTTCCGGTGCCGCTAGGATTTCAACGCACCATGGGATTTTATTTGAATATTGTTTACTTAAACGGGTACTTTGGGAACCTGAGTATACCTTTAAAATTGGTGTTTTCGAGGTCTTCTCGATGCGCTGCAACCAATCACCTTCAATCTCTATAACCTGTCTAGAAGATAAGGACCAGTTCTGTCAGTTATACTTTGAGAGTTCTATTCAAATCTAAGTAAGGCGATGGCTAAGGGTAGTTGAAGGCTAGGATGTCTGCTCCAGAGTCATGAATACAGTACCGCCCATCCTGGGTGCCAATTGTTTCGTCAAGGGCCCCATCTTCTGATGCCACTCCATGTGCCTGTTTTGACTCATAGCGTCTCGCCCTCTGGATATGCCAGTTATATTTCATCCCGCGCTCCCCAGAAGGTGTTGGTGCTGCGAATATATATTCCGGTGAAGAAGTTCAGAGATGCTGCCGCTGACCGTCAAAGCCGGGAGGTAACAACCTCGTCGACTGACAGTGACGACGAGGAACCGGAATTCCCGGGCTTCCCCTATGTGTTCCAAGAAGGAGTCCAACTGACTTTCAGTCATTGATCCAAAGCCGGACTTGCGTTCATCATTGGATGTGATCCAAAGACCTGCGATATCGTTGTCCCGCAGTTGCCGGGGGTCAGTCGCCGACATTGCTACCTGGATTTTTGACGCTGAGAACCGGCTGATCCTGCGAGACTACTCGACGTATGGAACGATTGTCACATATGATGGGCAAGGACGGAGAAGCGTCAAAACTTCACTTGGATCATCAGCGGCTATCTCCTCATCGATTCTAAGGAAGAAATCGTCATTGAAATTCATAAGGATATCAAGTTCGTTGTGGTCGTCCCTGAAATCAGGTTATCTCCTGATCTGCATCGGGAAAATGTCGACCGATTCCTCAAGGAGGTCCACGCGGAGCCCGAGCCACCTACCGTTCCTAACAATACCCGCAATTCTAAGGAGTATTGTCCAATCATGATTAACGGGATGATAATTGACGAGTCTGAAAGGGAAACCCTGGAGAAAGAAGCAATTGAAGGAGACGCTTGAAGGAAACGCTTGAAGGAGACGCTTGAAGGAGACGCTTGAAGAAGGCTGCTCACAAAGAGGGAACTCGGAATATGCTGTTGCCGCAGTTCGATTTGATGTATGAATGGAATTGACCGACCTGCTATGTTCTCATCTAGGGGATCTGTCAAAGGGATGATATATGATCTGCAAACCTTGAGGTTAAATTGAGTTTGAGATCTTCAACGTACATGCATGGCATTTCCTAGGCCACCTTCTTCAACCCCTACTATTTCGACAGTTCCTAACGACCTGAAATGAATCTATTCACCCCTCGAATGCAATCTGTGCTGTCGACTGCTGCGCTCGCGATTTTTTGTACATGTAGCCTTGCCAGCTGTCCAACCTATACGCCATGCACAACCATGCACCAAGAACACAAAAGCACAACATATATCAATCCAAAACCCCAAGGCATACATCGCCGTTCCATGGACGCAACCCACTCAAATCCAAGGCCCACGCAACAGCTAGGGGAACGCGAAACACATGCGATATCAGCTGACCACGAAATACTGCTCCCGAATCTGCTCTCGATGCCTCCGCAACCCATCTCTCCCTTCCAGCGCTCCTACCAACCAATCATCCGTCCACCCGCTCCCATAGTTTGGATCCAGCAGGAAATTCGTGTAAGCGAATACCGCCGCATCGAGGAGCCCTGGTTCCTTTGCGCCGAAGAACCAGGTATCGGATCCAAGGATGCCGTCGAGCGATTCGAACGCGTCCCGGGCTTCCAGGTATAATAAATCCGCGTCGATGGTGGGGGAGAATTTAAGGAGCTCAGCTTCGGCGGCTTTGCGGAGGTCGTAGCCGATGGACCAGCGGACTAGGGAGTTGGAGGAGGTGGGGAGGATGTAGAGCGGCCAGATGACGGATCGGAAATTCGAGGTGAGGTAGAGCGCATATAACTGTTCCAATATCTTTATGTGAGCCTCATGTACTTGTGCGATTGAGCTAGAGCTGGATGGTGACCACTTACCCATGCTCTTCTGATTGAATGGTCAACCAGCGCCATATACGCATCGGATCGCGGGTCCGATGGCTCTTCGAATTTGGATTCCTGGCCATCTGCCCATTTGGCCAGCTTGTTTCCAGGAATCGGATCCAACGACTGCGAATCTCCTGATGTCCCCGCCGATTTTGGCAGTAGAAAAGGGAGTGACCCGGACGGCGACGCATGGTTCGAGGACGATACCACCCGGAATTGAATATTGCGAAAGCGAAGATATGCCTATAATCCCGAACACGGCGGTAAGGAAATAGTTCTAGAAGCAGTGGTAGGGTAGCCATTCATACCTGATATTTCAGACAGCTCGGATTAAACGACACCACCTCCAAGCCGTCCCCTCCGCCGTCCGCAAACACATAAAGCCGCAGCAACTCCCGACTTCGGGGAGCGCTTAATGGCAACTCGTTCGCATCATACATTGCCAGCGGAAACCGATTGAAGAGCTGCTTCACTGGCGCGGGGATCGCGAAGATGGAGCGTCGTCGCGGGACGGATGGCCTCCGCAGCGCCTCCAGGGTTGATGAGGGCGCATCGGGTTTGACCTCTCCCGATGCATCGGCATGGCGTGGCATTTCAGAAGGACATTTTGGGACGCTCATGCCGCGAGGTCTCCTTTGGTCGAGCGGAATCACGGCGATTTGAGGGTGCGGAGGAGAGAGGGGTTTTGGATGGTTGTTGGAAATTATATGAGGTGGAATAATATTTCGGGGGAGTTCCGAATCAATTCAATCAAATCCAAGTCCACCTCCGCATCTCGATTTCACAACTCCACCTGTAGTTCAGCTTTCCATGTCGACGTCACGAGGCTATCACTACTGCTCGAACATGTAGTATATAAAGTACGGTAGGTATTGGTGAGGGTAACATATCATTTTCCTTTCATTCCTTCAATCCAACTCAATCCTCGCATTTCCTTCCGTCCACGCCGTCTACCTTTCCCTTCCAAGTCGACAAGTCTCAACCCTCCCGTTCAAATTGACCCCTATCACTCCCTCCTCCCAGCTGTCAAAGACTCTTCTCCCCTACATCCACCCACCATGTCCCACCCCCCCGAATTCCACCTCACCTTCCTCGGCGACGTCATGCTCGGCCGCCTCATCGACCAACTCCTCCCGCACCCCCTCCCCCCTTCCCCCTCCACCCTCCCAATCTCCACTGCCATCACCCGCTCCCCCTCCCTCACCCCCTACCCCCTCACCGCCCCTTTCTCCACCACCCTCCCCCTCCTCCTCTCCTCTGCCCTCCTCCTGCTCAACCTGGAAACCGCCGCAACCACCCACCCTGTCCCCTGGCCCTCCAAAACCTTCGCCTACCGCACCCACCCCGCCCACATCGCCGCCCTCGCTGCCGCACACGTCGACTACGCCGGCCTCGCGAACAACCACGTGCTCGATTTCCGCGAACCAGGGCTGCGCGAGACAATCGCCGCCGTCGAGGGCACGGGAATATCGTATGCGGGCGCGCGGCAATCCGTGGAGGAAGAATGGACGCCGGCGGTGTTGCGGGTGCCGAGAGAAGAGGGGAGTGAGGGAGGGGACGGGCCGTTTTTCGTGCATGTTTGGGCGGCGACGGACCACCCGAGCGAGTGGGAAGACACGGGGCTGGTGCATATGATCGACTACACGGCCGCCACTCGCGCACGACTCAAAGCGCTGCTCACCGCCCCGCGGGCGGATGCCCCCCCGCCGGACCTCGTCGTGTTCTCGGTGCATTGGGGGCCAAATTACCGGTGGACGCCGGCGGCGGAGGTGCGGGGCCTGGCGCGGTTTCTGATCGACGAGTGTGGCGTGGACGTGGTGCACGGGCACTCGAGCCACCATGTACAGGGCGTGAAGGTGTATAAGCGGAGATTGGTGCTGTTTGGCTGTGGGGACTTCGTGGATGATTATGCGGTGGATGGGGGGTGGAGGAATGATTTGGGGGCGGTGTGGAGGGTGGTGGTGGAGGGGAGTAAAGAAGATAAGGGGAGGGAGGGTAGGGGGAAGGGGCTCGTGGTCAAGAAGCTGGAGGTGTTCCCGACGGCGATTCGGAGGTTCAGGGCGGAGCGGTTGGGGCCGGAGGAGGCGGATCATGAGTGGGTGACGGAGAAGATACGGGGGTTGAGTGGGGAATTGGGGACGACGGTGGAGGAGGGGACGGGGGAGGAGGGACAGTTGGTGGTGAATGTAAATGAGGCATAGGTAGAGCAATGGAATCACCCGGAATCCATGCATTCTACGATCGGGTCACGTCAATTGCACGGCTTGAAAATGATAGGCTTGGATTATACCTAATGAGCGGTATCCCATTGCTGGCAAGTAATGTACACGAAACCCAGTTGTCCGTGCTGGTGATAATTCAACCTCTTTTCCGTCCGTCACCACTCCATCTCAACTCGCTCGTCCGAGTATATTACCATCCGCCACCAACTTCCGACTCGTTTTTGTTGCGTGCACAAGTGGTATCAACCGTAAAGCAGCAAAGTAGACTGTTAAGACATACAAGGAAATAAAAGGAAGGGAAGGACATGGATGAACTGGTCTGCGATTGGGTATCGCAGCCTTGGTTGAGCTACCCATGCGACTGATTTCGGAGAGTATTTCGATCATGGGAGGTGGGACGCCTGGGGATGGGGCACGCTCCCCTGTGGTACGATTCCCTGCGGCAGGGTTTCCTGAGCCAGACCTTCCTTTGGCATGGCTTCCTGTACTAGGTTTCCATGCACCAGGTCTCCATGTGGTCCGGTTCCCTGTGGCTGGGCGGACGGGTTCGTTTGGAATGCCTGGTTCGCATCGGTCCTGTAGCTCTCCGCGGTCTGACCAAGGTGACCGGTGGCACCCTGACCGCCCCTGTCCCTTTGGACCTTCGCAGCACCACCCTTTCTCCTGATATTCGAGATCTTTGGGACGCCAGTCGTTTCCCTGGCGGAGCCGATGCTGAACACAGGGCTCTCCCACTTTTCGCCTCGGCCAGCGAGTTCCTTGTATTCGGTGGCCTTGGTCGAGATGCCGCCAGGCAATTTGATGTTCGGGAAGATGCTCTCTTGCTGTGTGACGGCCATGTTGACCTTCTTGTCTTCCGTGGCTGCTTTGGCCCGTTCGGCCTTCCGTTTGCCTTGCATGAAGCGCTTGTTCGCGGCGTCGGCGTAGCGTTGGTAGATGTTGCGAGCTTGTTCCGGGTCAGGGTTCCGCTTATAGTCGGCCTCAGCACGTTTGGCTTCCGTGTGGATGTCGTACAGGAAACCGTCGAGTTGGTTTGCGGAGTCCTTGATTTGCTTCTCAATGATCTTGGTCAAGGCAGGCCTCATGACTTTGAAGAGTAGGGGCTTCACAAGAGCAAAGAGGAGCTTGTGGTTGGATCGCTTGAGCTTGACGTCGAAGCCGTTGATGTCAACCCTCACCCTATTCACCTTGAAGAACTTGTGGCGACCACGCAGGTCGTCGGCAGTTTCCATATCAATCTTGAATGAGAGACCATCGCCCGGGAGGAAGATATCGGCAACACCGGTGTCGGTGATGGAGGGGAAGCCCTGCTTCCGTTTGACATAGAAGCTCACATCGCGAAGGTCCATCTGGACGCCAGAAACGTGGAGCGTGACTTGGTTCTTGTTCCTGCTCGCGATCTTCTTACGTCCCCATCGGAAGTAGTTGTCGGAGGTGAACTCCACCACATTGGGGGCCAAGTTGTCGCTCTCAATGATCAGGTTCTCAACCACGACATCCACCTGGCTATCGGAGAATTCGATGCGCGGAATCGGCACATAGCGAACGTTTTCGAGGAATCCCGGGATAATGACCTCGGTGAGATCCTTCAAGAGATGAGGCTTCAGGGCATGCTTGCCATTCTCATCATTGGCAAGATCGGAGAACAGCTTGTGGACACTGTCGCCGAACGCTTTGTTCTGCGGGTCCTCTTCGAACTGGGTGCTGAAGAATTTGATCTCGTCAAGCACACGGTCGGTGTGAGATCGGTACTTGTCGCGAAGGAGATAGTTTCCATGGTCATAGAGACGGTCCCATTCCTCATTAGCCTCATCTTGCATGATGAATCCTTGCTCTTGCAGGCATCGTCGGACGAAATGGTCCATGCCTTGGAACCAGCCACGAAGCTGTTTGTCGTTGTCGGCATCGCGGTAGATCTGATTGATGGCATCGAAGAGGTCATCGAAGGAGGTGGAGTTGGCAAAACGTTCGATCAGAGTCTTGATGTCTGTCAGCATCGGTCGACTCTTATCGTATAAGACTAGCAACACACCTTCAAGTCAGCTTCCGCCATCGATAGGCTATCATTTGAGTGAACACCTTTGGCAGTGCTCGTCCCCTCTTTGGTCATTGAGCGAGCGTGGCCCTTGTAATTCTCGGCGAGACGGAGGAGAGTCTCGATTGCTCGCTGGTCTGCCCATGTGTCAGTGTACGCTTGGCATGATACATCGAGCATGTGCACTTACAGTCTTGATGGCCTTGAATTTCGACCACCATCTTCTTGAGACGCCAAATGGTCTGCTCGCGTCGCTCCTTGGGCATCTTGCCGGAGAGATAGTTCCTACTAGACTCTTGCCACTTCTTTTTCGTTTCCTTCGTATTCTCCTTGGTCTCGTCGGGAACATTCTGGTCCACAGCGCCTTGGAGGGTGTGAGTAGCTGCAGTAGCGCCACTTGGAGCATCGACAGCTCCCTGTTGTTGAGCAATTTGAGTACCCTGTGCAGGATCACGAGTGCCAGTTGCTGCGTGAGCGGCATTACTAGCGGCCTGGTTGGCCTCTTCCTTGCCGAAAGGCTTGTTTTCCTGGTAGGCTGCCCTCACCTGGTCCTGGATGCTGGAACGAGAAACATTAGGAACTTCGCGCCAGGTGTTGTCCTCTGCCGGTTGGTCAATCTGGTCAAGCTGGTCCTGAGACGGGTTGACCCGAGTGGCAGCATTGGAAGCAGCATCACCGGCCATGGACCGAAGAAGAAAAGCGGCATCATTCACTTCGTGGAGTATCAGCTTGCGTTCTCATGACTGCACCGCCACGAAGACTTACAGAGCTTCCTAAACTGTCCATTCGAGATCAACAAAGTCCCAAGCATCCTCAAGCCCTCTAGTGCCTCCTCTCCCTCCTGTTTCGCGGTCTCCCTACCAACTGGTGCACCAGGCGCCTTCGCACCGCCTGTATGAAACTGCTGCGTCTGCCAGATGAAGTCCTGAAGCAGATTGCCGTCGTTCTTCATGAGGACAAGGAGCTTCGCCTTCTGGATGACAGCTCGCAGATCGCCAACGAGTTTCCGACCCTCGGGAGAGAGCTTCCCTGACGGGCTAGCCAGGGCATTGGAATCGATGACACTGTTGAGAGCGATGTCAATCTGTTTGTTTGAGGGGACTTTGCCTTGGGAAAGGGCAGTGTAGATGCCATATAGCTGTAACTTGTTGTTGACATCCGCATCTTTGGTTTTGATGTCAACGGGTTTGTTGACGGCTGGGGTCGACATTGCGGCGGTGTTTGATCCGTCCTTCGTTCAGATTGGAGTCCAACGCAATGGTTTGATCTGGATGAGGGGATGACTTGGAGGGTTTTTGAGAGTTGGTGAGATGGAAATGGGTACCACCAAACGAAATAGAAAGGGTGAAAATGAGACCACCATGCAATTGATGGATGATTGATGAGAATGGGTATATGGAATGGGATTGATTGAGTGAAGAGACAGTGAGAGGAAAGTTGGAGGAAGGCGAAATTGTTTGTAGGAAGAGGGACAGAAGGGGGGGGATTTATTGTCAGTCACAGATAATTCAAAGCAGGAAGTGCCGTGTATCTGTCGACCATGGCAATGACATTATACAGGGAAAGTACGCGCCACAGAAATCGGGGTTTGCTCCTGCCTTGGTGTCTCCTGATAGACGTCATTATGTCGTCCCATGGTTCTGTCCCCAAAACATCGTCTCGTCCCTCCCCTATAGGGAAGATCCATTCCATGCGCCATACACCCTGTGAGGTGTCTTGCCCTTGCTTCACACGGCAGGGCGGTAGGCAAACGGCAGAGCACCAGACGTACACGGATTGCTCGATGATAATTATGTCACAGTCCAGCTATAGCACCGTACACAGTACCGAATGCACAGTATCGATTCGATCGCCAGCCCCATCTTGATCTGCATTGATCAAATTCCCTTCATCGAATAAAGTAGTTGTTAACCAAGTTTCTTGATGAGATGAATCTTGCCTGGGCGTGCATCCAAGCTTTCCCCACATCATTCCAGCGCTAACTACGGCCCGATTGCTAGCTCTCAGACCACCCGAACTTTACGTCATGCCATCCCCACCACCACATCAGATTCGCCTCCCACTGTCTGTGGTTATCCGTATCATTTTCTGCCCCTCTAATTCATGAAAATTCGGGTCGTGGCTTCATCAGATCAAATCAGCTTCTCAATTAAAAGCTACGGGTACCTTACTCTAGGTTTATGTTTCCGCGTAGTGACTCTACTCCGGCTACGGAGGAAACGAGGGAGGGGAACTGAGTTGCCAGGGATCGGCACCCAATGATGGGAGCCCGGAAGACACCCCATGAAATCTGTGGCGTTTCCAGGACATCATCCGTCATGATCGCTGATAGATGAACCGAATTGTTGAGATTCCCATGATATTCCCATCAAAATCTCCGCGTCTTCCGCAGGTTGACCTGGCAAGGGTACGCGAAGATCGAGGAATTTCTTCCCGTCTTGCGTCTTGCGAGTACTGAATGTCTATGTACTTGAGTAGGTAGGTATCCAGCACGGTCCTTTGACTTATGACGTCGAGTATCACCAGCAATGATCACCCGAGATCATCTCATCAACGTACGCGTATTCTCATATTCAGGTTACGGTAGGATCCTTGACGGACTTGGCAATTTTTACTCCGCCAACACGAGCACTTCATCAATTATATCAACGCAGCAACCACCACGTTCATTACTTTATCAATTTAGGTATTTTTGAGGAGCTATTGACAGCGAACACCTACTTATCTATTTAGATGATAGCCATGCCTCCTTTCCAGCCCCCAGCTACCAGGTCTCAGGTCTCAGATGCGACTTTACGCGACATAGAGTACCGTCTCAACGCTGGACAAGTCAATATGCACATAATCGCCGCAACGAGTATAAACAAGAATACAATGACGAGATTAAGGAAGCGATGGAGCGAGACTAGGACCATTTACGCCATAAGAACGCGTCGCCCTGGTCCTAGACCTATTGTTACCCCCGCAATGTATATCGATCTCGAGATAGCTTCTGATACGGCCAGGGATATACCAGGACGAACTTCAGTACTTCCTCTAGGACAACTAGTCCATCTGGGTCAGCCAGCCTACCATCAGTCGTTGTATCGCGGAGCTCAACATGTCTCGCAAGGTCATGTAACGACATGCCGCACAGCGCAATGAAATATTCCGAGGGGAATGGTATCTTGAAATGCCAGACTATCCAGTAGACTGGTTAGTCTTCGTAGATGAATCCGCATGCAGCGAGAGGACTCTCCTTCGCAAATATGGATACAGTCCTCGTAGTACACCAGCAATTGATGTTCAATGGCTCCGGAGGATAGAACGGTGGAGCCTCCTTCCTGCATACGACAGCAATGGCTATCTAGAGGATCCCCTCATCGTGAAGGCAGCCGTAGATGGAGAGATATTCAAAGAATGGCTTCAGGAATGCGTTTTACTGAAAATGAATCCATTCCCTGGTCCGCGGTCTATTCTGATTATGGATAACCGCAGTACTCATCGCATTACGGTAGGTCTTCTATCTTAGCCTGGCTATCATATAAACTTACAAAGCAGTAGGGTATTCGCCAATTATGCGACGCTAAGGGTGGTCTTCTTAAATACTTGCCTCCATACTCGCCAGACTTAAATCCTATTGAGCCTTCGTTCCATGTCTTAAAAAGCTGGATGAATCGGAATGATGGTTTGCTTCTAGAGTTTAGGAAGGCTATGAGGCGGCGTTTATAGAGTTTCTAAAGGCAGCATGTGTTGCTTTACTGACCGGACAAACCATCAAGCGCTGTGGCTGAAGTCTGGATATAATGTGCATGGTATTAATTTATAGATAAATCCGAGACCGTTTAAAAGGCACGATGGTTTACTAGCTACTCCCTCTAGTGACCGGAGGGTTGATAAACGACCGTTTAAAGCGTTCGAGTAGCTTCTTTGAACCGATGCTCTTAAGATAACCATCCTTGATATTCAGCCTCTCAGCAAGACGGATAGGATTTCTGCGAGCCTCTAGATTCGTATCGCCTATAGTATAACCTTTATCATCAAGGTCCTCGCCTACCTTGATCAACTCTTCCCTTTGCGCTTCAGGCCGGCCCTGATCTATCCACTTACAAAACTCTCGGATCGTGAAGCCATCGACTGATGATACTGGAGAACTGGGAGGCACTAGAAATTGAGTTGCTATAGGTGTGGTAGGCGGCATACCCCAGGGCGTCATACCCATAGATGGGAAGCCGAAGTTGAAGTTCTGGGTAGGGCCTGGCTATAATGATAGAGTCTCAGTAGAAGACCGCACTCTTATCTGTATTGGCGGTGGTAATCGCTTGTACCGCCGGAGTAGGAGGATGCGCCAAAGATAGGGTACTACTAGAAGCTGCAGCGGTTGTCGATTGCCTGAGAATAGGGACTAGAGTCGGTAATGGCTCCATAGTTGTGCCATATTTAACTTCAATGGTAATCTTGAGGTTTTGTAGGTTGAGTTCATGATACTGATAGTGTAAAATAGCGTGGAATTCTTTAGCGTCGTTATCAGTACTAAGATCAATGTCGTTCTTAACCACAGGTTTCGTTCGGCTATCAATCTTTGCTGCAGAGAACGAAGCCTTCGTCTTATAATAATAGACGAGAGTTTTAAACCGCTTCATTGCTTATGATTCGGCGATAGATTACGCAACCTCGAGATCTTCTCGCGATTGATATCCGCAAGGCTCGCTGCTGTCGTTTTCTTCGGAAGTGCTAGCCCATCAAAGGTATGGAATGAGCGTGAGGATGATCTTCATAGTCTTGCCGAATAGATTGTACATCTTATTGGTTGATTGAGATGCTGAATTCGCAGCAGGGCTGGCAATAGGCGATGATATCCCAGGTTGAGATCCGGTACCAAATCCTTGGACATTTGCTAAACCAGAACCTCGTTTCAGACGCTTGCGAGGTAACTCAACAACACCATCAGTAGAGGATCCGCGAAACCGACTCGCATCTGCCTGCGTCTAAGTCTGCGTCGTCGAGAGTATGGTGTATCCGTTTCTATATCGGATTCCGATTCGGATTCACTATGACGAGGACTTGATGACGGGAAATTGCGGTTTGATTGATCACGCGTACGGGCCATTCCTAACAGAGTTTCGACTGCAGCTTCTTCTCCAGAGTCGTATTCGTGTTCATCGATCGAGATAGTGCTTTGGAATACGCGACACGACTGAACACTCGCTTGACTGGGGGAGCTGGGAATCCTCCTCTGACCCGATTGACGCTCTGAATGGATTTCTGCTCAGAAGCTGGAACCGTGCTGGGTCGAACGACGTTGAATAAAGTGAAGAAAGTGCGAAACCTAAAAGGTCCGGCTCCCCTGCCCGACGAGGCGAAGGAGGAAGTCACGATGCATCTGATATCCCGTTTTGGGATGCACTCACAGATGACCCCTGCAGCGCTCTCTGCAAGAACAACCAGACTGCAGTGCACCCTGGACCAGGTTCCTTCACGGCGAACGTTTGATCTCTCCGCAAGGCTGAAATACATGATTACGAGAATCATCGACCTTTGGAAGATCACCGTGGAATGAATTCCGACGCTCCATAACCGCCTCGTCACTCCGTCGGGTAAATGATGACTACTCTAAGTCTCTAACCGAACAGGATAAGAATCAACATCAACAGTGGACTAACTTATAGGACTTACGACAGAGTTTATCCATTAGTATTGACTAGCCAGAAATTTTGACTCCCTGAACTGATCTCTAGGTAAATTTACAAGAGCAGGCATAACTATATCTTGATACCAGTTTCCAGGCTGGAGACTTGAATCAAGCCGCTCGCTTCATTTGCACGCGCTAGCCAAGGACTCGCTTGATGCTTGCTCAATATTCCAGTTCGTTTTACGTGGGTCGCGAGTCTTCCGCTAAACCTCTTCCGTACCAGTCGAGCGGTGTTCCGATCTTTCTCGATCTCGGCCGTAGATTGGCTCGTTACGCCCATTATACGTATGAATGACAGAGTATACTAGGCGAAGTTGCACTTGATTTGGTGGGTGCAGCCACGGGACAAGTACGCTCGACAAGGTTGAAGGTTCTTGGACGAGTCTGAGTAGAGTAGAGTCGGGCGGCTCGATTACATAAGACTTGAGTTCGCTCAAACTCGCTCAAGCCTCCAGCCCAGCCTGGTAGGAGCCTATAGTCATCCCAGGAGATTCCCCACATTTTCTTGATCTCCCCCTCCAAATCTCACATGCGTGGTGATTTCCATCGATTGTCGCCTGGAGGTGGAACAGCCTCAAGGAATTGAGAATCAGCATATTACGGCAGAGATTTGTTTACATCATTTGAATCAATCGCGTGGTGTTGACATAGTGTAGGATCTCCGACGGGCAGTCGGATCGTCATCCCCAATTACGCTTCCTTCACAGGCGGCACGGTAGGGACGGGGTTCATAGCTGGGTGGCGTGTATGCGGAGGATTTCCGGAAGGCGGAGAATGAGTGATGTAAGCAAGGTGGTTATGTGGCGCGAGATTAAGATCAAAACATCGCTGTACGATCAGACGATCAGATGAGAAGAAAGAGATTAGAGTAGACTCGAAGCACTTGTGTATAGAGTTCATGGTATGTAGGAAAACGCTGTGTGACTAGACTACTAAATGAGGACTTTTATGAGGGCCATACAAGCACATACAGGCTGTGTTGCAAATATAAATTGGGTATCATGATCGTCATAACGCCTATTGCGTGCAGCCGTGACGAACAACCAAACGTTCAAACATCTCCTTATCTAGTCGTCAATCCATCGATCGTATGATAACCACCGCCCCAGGCTACAGCTCCGCCCCGCAGGCCACCCTCCACCCAACCCCCCACCGAACCCCACCCATCACTGCAACCGCAACCCCTAATGCCACCCCAACCGACACCCCTCCATAAACATATGCATGTCGCTTTCTCAAGCTCTTCAACTCCGCTACCCACGTACTCACCGTACTACACCCCCCCGCAAACCCATCCACCAACCCCCCGAGCACCGCACACGCGGCCGTCCCACCACCCACACCCCTCCCCGCCAACTCCATCCGCCCCAGCACAAACCCCACCGCCGCGACCGCCGTCCCAAACACGTTAGCCGTGAATGTCCCAAGCGGGAAACCCGCCGCCACGCCGTTCAGCCGCTGCGATAGCGCGTAGCGTAGCAGACACCCGAGCGGAGCAAAAGTCGCGGGGAGGGTGACGGGGCGCCAGGCGGGAGAGGGCGGGAGGGCGGAGAGGAGGATAAAGGCGAGCCAGGCGGCGGGGGCGAGGAGGAGGAAAAGGCGGTCGAGGTGGCAGAAGGAGCGGGGGAGGGAGGGGAGGTGGGGGGAGAGCAGGAGGGAGAGGTGGGAGCCGAGGGAGAAGGCGGAGAGGGAGATGGAGAGTGTGAGGAGGGGGAGGGAGAGGGTGGAGAGAAGGGAGTAGGCGGGGTAGCGGGGGAGGGAGGGGGAAGGGGGGAAGGGAGGGGTGGTGGGGGGAGAGATGGGGAGGGGGAGGTCGTTGGAGAGGGCGAGGAAGGTGTCGAGAATGAACGCGCTGAAGGAGGTGAGGGTGCCGCAGAAGCCGACGGTGAGGCCGATGTAGAGGGGGATGGTTTTCTTGTGGGTGAGGTGGGTGCGAGGGTTGGGGGTGTTTGTGGAGAGGGGTTTCGGGTGCGAGGGGTCGGCGTTGGTAGCGCTCGAAGGGTGGCTGGTAGCATGGTGTTTCTGGAAGAGTGCCGGATCTTCTTGCAGGTAACCCATGATGAGACACCCCGTGAAGTTCGCCCAGAGAACTGGGGTGATGACGGGTGCTCCGGGGTAGAATGTGAGCCAGTCGAGCCCCAGACGCGCCAGGACGCCCAAGATGGAGAAGAAGATGAGGTAGGAGATGGTGTAGAGCTGGAACAATAGCGCGGAGGGTTTCGAAATCGGAATATGTCGTGAGGTTCGTGCGCGTTCTCTTGGTATATCAGGCGGAATCGCCGCCGCCGTGTCCTCTGAGGATTGGGTGGGGGACTGCCCTAGGTGTGCTATCGTAGGAGGCATCGATGTTCGTGAATATCTAGCGTGCGTCGGCCTCATATCCATATACCCCTCTTCCAATATCTGCGAATGTCTCGGCTCCATTCCCGTCCGCCTACTTGCTCTCCTCGCTTTTCCGTCCACCTGGGGTCGCTCTCGATTGTCCTCGATCGACCAATGTTCATAGAGTGCGGATTCCTCAGGGTTCTCCATTTGTGGTGGGGCGGACATCCCATTTCGGCTATCGACATCCACGGTCAAGCTGGAGTCATCTCCAGCCGCTGTCGAGCTTTCCATATCATATCCATAGGATCTGCTGGTCCGCCGACTACTCCGACTCGGTATCTGAATTCCTTGCCCGGGCCCATATTCCGTCGCCTTGCCTTTTCCTGATTCCCTCCTTCTCCCATGTCCACTACCGCGCCTCCCGTCTTCGAGGCTCCTGTGCTGGTAGATCGCCAAGTCGTCCTGATGCTGTTCGGTCGCTGGGACTGCTAGCTCGGAGAGGTTAGCATACGCCGCTGGCATATTTTCCTCCCGTTCTTCGGAACGCTGGATCGGACTGGACGTCGCGGATCGTGATGCACGTTGCTCGCGGAAATATTGGTCGCGTGCGAGTGTTGAATTGCTCCTGCTGCATTCATTATTGTCCGTCATCGTGGCGACATTCGTGGTATTCGTTGCATGGTCGGAGACCAGAGGCGGGGCGTGTGTGAAGATCCAACAGAGGATGGAAACTCAACCTGAGCTAGGAATGATGGGATTGCGGACAAGGGATGGATATAGGCAACGCCCATGACCCATCATTAAAATACCCGATTATTGCCAATTGTCCAATCGAGTCACTGATCAAGGTATCGGAGGTGCCCCGTTTGTTGGTATGGATTGGTCTCGCTTGGAGTAGTCCTAGGTAAACAGCTGACGGAATGGGAAGATGAGGCGTTGATTTATCGATTTCCCTGCAAGGAGCTGGGGATTTTCGTCATTATGGACCCCTGACCCGATCAATCAAGGCTGAGAATTCTCCGACTCAGGGGCATAAGGTTTGAAAGGTGAGAAATCAAGTGCCTCGATCTTGAATTTCCAACCCCACTTGCATCCCTTTCCCGTCGTCCGTCCACACAATGTTTGAAGTCGACAATCGAAGGACCGGATCAGGTGTCGTCCCATAACAATAGTCGGCGGCTGGTGAGATTTTCCCTCCCCAGTTTTGAGAATTTCCCCCACGCTAGCCATAGTGCTGTTGTTACAGCAGCGAAGTTGTTGTATTGTGTAAGTTGTGTGTTCTAGCTGAATGCCTGATCCCCCGGCCCTGCAGATATAAGAGACTCATGGCAAGATTATTAATGCAGTTTGTAGCCTTATGCTCCCATAGATGATACCTTGGTCTGCGATAGTATATATACCCAGGCTTATGTAATCTTATGTAATCTACAAGATACGGCGACTAAGTATCCGCGCCCCTGGTTCGTCAGCTGAAGCTTACCTCATCCACGATTGTGGACGCTAGATCCTTTATCTAGCGCCAACCTTCTAAACGATAATGCGGTCCAAACGATAACTTAATAGCTTCCAGTCTCCTTAAGCGGAGTTAAGCCCGTTTATCCTCCGCCATTAT